GATCTATAGTGTCGAACGCAGCACTAAGATCAAGTAAAACTAGCAATGAGATGCAGCCTTGGTCTGATGCAAGAAGCAAGTCATTTGTAATTTGCTGGGCTAAGATATATGTTGCATAAGGTTTTTTTTATGCATAATAATAACCCTAGAATGTGATCGAACAGTTTAAAATAGCTGGGCTAAGATATACAGGTGCATCTCAATAAATTTGAATGTCGTACATGGCCACTGCTCTGCTGGTTCGCGCTTCCTCGACTGAAGCTCGCACCTCCTCCTGTACCAGCCTCTGCCTCTCCTTTCCGCCGGCAGAGTCATATCGGGTCGCTCTTAGGCTCCCAAGTCCGGCTCTGCCTTGCGCCACTGTTCCAAGGATGGCAGTGATTATCCCCACCTCCAGCTGGTGCCAATCAGATGTTAGCTGGCCAGTAGTAACTCTCAAGCTGAACTTGCTATAATAGTCCAGGATGAGATCTTTCGCCTTCTGCGGTACATGGTGTTTCTCCAGTGCGACCTTCACCAGCATGTGGGGTATTGAGCCATAGGCGTTGGTGAGGTCCAGCCACAGTACTGCCAGGTCCCCTCTACCTTCTCTCGCTTCCCTAATGAGCTAGGTTACCACGCCCATGTGTTCCAGACAACCTGGAACTCCTGGTATACCTCCCTTTTGCACAGACGTGTCGATGTACTTATTGCTCAACAGGAAGTTGGAGAGCCTCTTAGCCACGATGCTAAAGAAGATTTTGCTCTCCACACTGAGCAAGGAGATAACCCGAAACTGGTCGATATTCTCAGACTTCTCCTCTTTTGGTATACACACTCCCTCAGCATACCTCCATGGCTGGGCGATCTTCCCTCTCCTCCAGATCACCTTCAGGACCCTCCAAAGCCGATGTAGTAGCTTTGGGCAGTTCTTATACACCTTGTAGGGCACTCCACTTGGGCCTGGTGCTGAGCTCGATCTTGCTCTCCTCACCACTTCCTCCACTTCCCTTAGGCGGGGCTCCTTCAGGTCGAAGTCTGATGAAGGCTCTGGTGGTGTTATCAGCGCATCACATGGACCCAGCGGTTGTTCTCTAATGGGGTCACTATAAGTGGCCTTGAGGTGGCCATTTATAGCATCCTTGAAGCAGGTGAGGCGGCCAGCCCTCTTTTGGCCAAGGAGCTGCTTGGCTCTCTCGACTTCCCCCACTGACTTGTATTGCCTCTTTAGCAGCCTGAGTTCTTCCCTGAGGCACTGGATTTTCCTTGCTCTGTGGCTTGGAGCATATGCCGATGGAGCAGGCTTGGATGCCTCAGTTCCAAATCGCTCAGCTGCAATGTTCACTATGAGGGTGGTCATTGTTCTCAATCGGTGGTCCACATCCCCCTTAGCTGTTACTTCCAGGACCTGGCTTACATCTTCATCAAATTGTTGCCACTCAGCTCTCTTAGAAGATTTGGGACACTGAATCCTCGGCTGGGTTATGACTGCAGCTTGCCGGCGTTGGAGGCCCTGTGGGTTGTCGAGCGATGCTGTTTCTTGGGTTATGGTGGCAAGTGAGCTGCTGGCAGCCAGTGTTGGCGACACTAGGAGGCTCTGGGCACTGTGGGTTGCCTCCGGGCCTAGCTCCTCCTGCGTCTTACCAGAAGTCGCTTCTGTGCGTTGTGTCGTCGATTCCGCTGTCAAGCATCTTATTCTGCCTTGATGGATTTTTAAACCCCTTTCATTCTTGCAGGTCCTGCCGCAGATGCACTGTATCGTCATTGTCGTTATTCCTTTATCCTGTGTCATTTAGAATATGGTGACATGCCAATCAGCTAATCAACTCAAAACACCTGCAAAGGTTTCCTGAGCCTTCAAAATAGTCTCTCAGTTTGGTTTAATTATTGATTATTTCAAAGGGTTACTAATGACACATCATTTGTGTATTTTCATGTCTGGGAAAAATTTGGGATTAAACGGGTTAATTATAATGAAAAACACATATAGGCCTACTGATGGAAGTCAAAGGTCTAGTTTCCACATTTGAGACTGTTTGTGTGACAGTCCTGCAGTTTAATTTACACCTGAACCTACATTAAACATTAATCATCTATAAACTTTTATTTGAGAGTCTTTGCTAAAGACAAACCTATAACCTATTATATGACACTTTGATTACAGTGCGATGCAATTAAAATGCATTTAAATAATGTGAAATGTTGACTTCCTGACTTAGAAACAAGTTAAAGGGGTCATATGATGTTGCTAAAAAGAACCTTATTTTGTGTATTTGGTGTAATGAAATGTGTTTATGCGGTTTAAGGTTCAAAAA